CCCTGATCCCTCAGGCTCCTTGCAGCCTCCCTGCCCTCCTTGGCCCCGCCTCACCCTGCCCCTCACTCACCCTGTCCCAGCCACACTGGCCTTCCCTTATGCCTGGAACCCACCCAGCATACTCCCACCTCCGGGCCCTTGCATCTACCATTCCTTCCATCAGACAGTCCCACAGGGCTGGTGTCCTCTCATCCTTGAGGCCCCCTTTGCAGACAAGCCCTCTGGCCCCTCTGTTCAAAGCGTCTCCTTCCACCACACCCCCCTCTGCTTCCCCCTGTTGAATTTCTTCCTTGAAGGCCTCTGTCCCTGACGCAATTATATACCTGTTGTTCTCTCCCCTACAAGACTAGGCAGTGAGGGAGGCCAGGCTGGGTCTGTCCTCTCCCTGCCCCTGTGTCCCTGGCACCTGGTGACATTTCTGGGGGAGTCGTGGGGAACCAGAGGTGCCCCAAGGCCCTGTCCTGGAGTCTCTGCTGACTGTGTCTTGGGTCTGTGGAGCTGTGGGCCGAGTCCCTCCTGCCCCGCTCTGACAGATGTGCTAATTTCCCAAGCAGGGAGAGCTGGGTCTCTGGGGACACCTTTCTGGGGCCCCGCGGGGAGAGCTTTCTCTGGAACAAAGAGGGAAACCTGGGGCCGCTCCTGCAGCTTCCATGTGGCTTCGGGGACCTTGCCTGGGGTGCTGGGCAGCCCTGGGCTCCAATCTGCCTTGGACAGCAGGTTGGTCTCTGAATGTAGTCTCTGGCCTCAGGAGTCAGGATCCCAAGTCTCTCGGGAGATTGGGTAGGGCAGAGGACTTCCGTTTGCATCGTCTGTGACAGAGTCTGGGCTCTGTGGCAGGTGAGCACGTGCCAGGTTGGACCTGCATGTCCTCAGGACATGGTTCCGAGATGGCAGTGGGACTTCAGAGGGTCAGTCCCTGGGCCTGAGAGAAGCACAAACACCGTCTAGTTGGCTGTTGTGCTGTTGGCTCTTCAGAGCAGGAGTTTCAAACTGGCGGCCTGTGGGCCAGGTGGGAGCCTCAAATGTGTTTTGTGGGTCACGAGGTATTTAAAAGAAAAGCGAACCAGTTGCCAATGTTTCTTCCGTTGTTGCTCATTCACTTAGGAAGGGTGACTGTGGGCCTACTGTGTGCCAGGTACGTATGAGGCCATCCTTGCCCTCACAGAGTAGACATCTTCACAGGGCGACATGATTATCAGATAAAGCAACAAAGAAGCACACAAACACTCAGTAGGGCCCAGCTGGTGTGGCTTGGTTGGTTGAGCATCGTCCCATGCACCAGAGGTCTCTGGTTCGATTCCCCGTCAGGGCACATACCTGGGTTTCGAGCTTGAGCCAGCCCCTAGGTCCCAACAGTAGGAGGCTGTGCAGGAGGCAGATGATCGATGTTTCTATCTCTCTCTCTCTCTCCCTTTCCCTTCCTCTCTCTCTTAAAAAAATTTTTTTTCAATAAAAACATTTTAAAAATCCAGTAGGGCTGAGTGCTGCAGGGAGAGACAGGGATCCTGCCTGGGGAAACCAGTGCTTCCAGAAACAGGAGTTTCTGTTCAGCCTTGAAGGAGAGCTCCCAGGCCTGGGCATTCCGGGGGCTTTGGGAAAGGGAAGCGCTGTCTGGGACTGGTGTGTCAGGTGCCTGGAAAGGGACAGAGGTGGTCTGGGAATTTGCCGGTACCTGAGGCTCCCCAAGAGGAGGAGCAAAGGGGAAGGTGCAGAGCTCGCAGGGGCCCATTATACAAACAGGGAAACTGAGTCTCAGAGCACTTCAGGCAATGAGTGTCTGGTGGAGCCTGGATTTTTTTTAAAATATATTTTTATTGATTTCAGAGAGGAAGGGAGAGGGAGAGAGAGATAGAAACATCAGTGATGAGAGAGAATCATTGATCAGCTACCTCCTGCACAGCCCCCATTGGGGATCACGCATGCATCCTGAGCATGTGCCCTTGACCAGAATTGAACCCGGGACCCTTCAGTCCGCAGGCCAACGCTCTATCCGCTGAGCCAAACCGGCTAGGGCTGGAGCCAGGATTTGAACCCTGGTCTGGCCAGCCTCACAGCTGTATCCCTGGCCCCTCAGTGCATGGCCATAATGGGCCTTCCCAGGAGCAGTCCTGGGGAGGGGTCTCTTAAGGTGGGTCTGAGGGTTCACAATGGGTCTCAGTTTTCCCAAGGATGCCAGAGGGAGCTAAGAACAAAGGGACCCCCAAAGGATCTTCTCCAGCTGGAACATTCTGGGTTTCTAGGATTCATAGCTGCACCTGGGTGACACACCCCACCCTCAAATTCCCAGTTCCCTTGGAGGATAGGCCCTACCTGTGTCTGGGGGCTTGAATGTAATGAGGATCGGCATGGAGTCTGCATATATTTGGGGAGCTTTGAGAGCCTGCACATTGTCGGCAAGGGGCCTGGTGTGTTTGGAATGCCTGCCTGTATTTGGGAATCGGTGTGCATTTGGGGGATCAGCATGTGTTGAAGCCTGTGTGTGTTGGCGATCTATGTTTGGGGATATGGGTGTGTGAAGAGCTGTGTGGGTTTGGGGAGTCTGCATGTATTGTGGACGTCATGTTCTGGGGCATTTTGTATGCAGGAGCCACATGTGTTGGGTAATGTGTGTTTCTGGAGCTCCGTATGTTTTAGGCACCTGTGGATTTTTTAGGCACCTGGGTTTCTGCATGTGTTTAGGGGAGTCTCCCTACCCTCACCCGGTCATCCATATGTCCCTGCCTCCTGTCCCCCCAGCCTACCTCCATCTGCCTGGGGCCCTCATTCTGAGCTGAGGGCCCCCCTCCAGCTGAGGAGCAGTGACCCCAAGGTCAGAACCCAGTGACAGGTGAAGAAGGTAATAGCATCTACAGAAAACCTACTTCTGAAGACCCACCAACCTCAGGCTCCCCTGACTCCCTATTTTTCAGGGGAGAAAACTGAGGCCCCGAATAGTTTGGCCACAAGAGAGTCCCTGCTGGAACCTACCTCGTCCCTGAGGGCAGGTATGGGGCTCCAGGGGCTGCTGTGGGCTGAGCCAGCCCCTAGGTCACCCTCAGTGAGCCCATCCGAGGCGCCATCTCCCAGGTCCCAGGGAAGAGGCAGGCACAGAGCTTGGGAAGGTCATTGGCAGCTGGGGTCAGAGTCACTAGAGCCCTCAAGAGGGGGGGTCCTGTCTTTCCAAGGGGCTCTTCCTGTCGCCAGTAATGAGGTACTTGGGGAGCAGGTGATGAAACCACCGCCTGGGTTGCGTGAGGCGGTTCTGGCCTGATTTGCTGCCGTGGCCCAGGAGCAGCGCCCCCTCCCCGCTTCGCAGAGTCCCTGCGGGCCCTCACCTCCCCCCACCACCCACCTGCCTCTCACTTCTCCTTTCCTACCCTCCTTTCCCGGCCTGGGTCCCCACCAAGCTGTGGCCTCTGGGCACAGGGTCTAGCAGCGAGCTGTCGCTCATCCCCCTATTAAAGTCCCAGTGGGAGCCGAGAAGAGGAACTTGCTTCGTTCCTGATCCTTTCTCTCAAACCCTCACCGCAAAGCCGTGGGGGCACGATTCTGTGGCCCATTTTATGGGGAGGAAATGGGGGCTTCATGTTGCCAAGTTTGTCCTGTGCTTGTCGCCATGGCACCTGATTCAGCATCCCCAGACCCTAGGCCCAGACACTTTGCGGGCACCGTTCCCCGCCCCCACCTCTCCTCCCCAGCTGGTGGAAGAAGGACTCTTACCCCCATGTACAGGTGAGGAAACCCGAGTCTTCACGTGGAAACAGGCCAGGGTGAAGGGTCAGTGAGAGAGTGGGATTCCTTTCAGGCCCCATCTCCATCACCAGGGGCTCGGGGGCTCACCAGCCAGGGAAGTGACCATCACGGCCTGAAGGACCCCTGGGATATTTGTTGATTGACGTAGTGACCACAAGTCTTATCACAGAGAGTTTATGGTACTCCAGAAGCTCATGAAAATCTTCCTTCATCCCCCAGCACTTGCCCGGCACCGTGCTCAGGCCTGGGACCCAGGCTCCTCCCCACCCCAGGTGTGTGCTCCAGTGGTGCTGTCCCCTCTGTAGACAACTGACCCATGCACTTCTGCCCACCTGCACCCCATTTCAGTTCAGGGCCCCTGTTTCTCACCTCAGCCTCTCCCTGCCACCTCACTCCTGCCTAGACAGCTGCAGCTCCCCATGGCAGCCAGGAGCAGGCGGGAGCTTTTTTAAACACTTTTGCTTGAGATAAATCACAGAAACCATCCAAGTAGAACTCACACATTTGCACAAACTGAACACCTCCCTGTACCCAGATCCTGGACTGGGGGCCAGAACACCGGCCTCTCGGTCTCCTGCTGCCCTGTCACCGCCCCTGCCCCGCGGCCTCTGTGCTGACAACCATCACCGTACGTGAGTTTTGCCTGCCCTGGAACATCATGTAAATGGACTCATCATGGCATGTCTCCTCTGCGGCGTCCGCACTGTTGAATTGGCACAGGTCTAGGCGATTCCCCGTGAGGATGCATGGGCCGGAGCGCATCCCTTTTCTGTGCAATGTAGCCGTCCGTGGTAGAATCTACCAGAAAGCATTTACCAGTTCTCCCGAGGAGGGAGTTTGGCCGATTCCAGTTCGGGGCTATGATGAACGAAGCTGCTGAGGACAGTCTTGTCTGTGTCCTTTGGTAAAACATAGGCCCATTTCTATTGGGTGAATACTGAGATGAGAGGTCACTGTGTCACAGGTCAGACGTATGTTCATATTTAGTAAATGCCAGTTTTCCACAGTGGCTGTACCTCTTTCCCCTCTCACCACCAACACATGAGAGTAAAGGGGATTTTTTTAAACTGTAAGATCGTATCCTGACCCTCCCCTGCCCCCAAACTCTCCCTGGCTTCCCATTGCCCTCAGAGTAAAGCCCACAAATACCTAAATGACCCAACCTCCACCGCCCTCCCCACCGCCATGCTCCTCACCTCGCCCCTTGCCATGCTGTCTAGCCATGCAGACTTCTTTGCTTTTTGTTGTGTTTCCCCCCCCCCCGCCCCCCAATGCCAAACTCATGATCACTATGACCTTTGGCCCTTGCAGTTCCACTGCTAGGACCACCTTTCCCAGATCTCCCACCACTGACATCCCTCCCTTTACTGTCCTTTCTCATGCTGCAGGTCTTGGCCCAAACGTCACCTCTTCAGATAGGCCCTTCTCGAAATCCCTGGCTAACGCTGCCCCTTGCATAGTCAGTCCTTCACTCTTTTTGGGCTTCAGGCATACGAAAGTTTCAGAGAAATGACCTGGGCAGTTCCCATTGTTTTCAAAGGTCTGAGTTAGTTTAGATAACATTGCACTTTCCTGTCCTTTATGGTTTGACAAAACAGCCATACAGCCCTCTGGGCCCATGGTCTTTTTATGGTAGGTCGCAGTCACTTTGCCAGTCTTCCGTGGCCATTGCTCTACTTACACTTTCTACTTCTGAAGTCTGCTTATCACAGTGGCCGGAGCACGGTTGATCTTAATAAATGTTAAGTATAAGGGGGTGAAAAAAGGGGTGGGGAAGTGGTCTCTCGGTTTCAAATGACCACCCCACTGCCCATCTGCTCAGGCCCCATCCAGTCTCTCCATTGAGGCCCAATGACATGCTTCCTCCTCTGAGATGCCCCCTTGGATTTCTCCTGGCCTTCCTTCCTTGCTCCAGTTCCTGTCCATGGGTCTACCTCTCTGCCTCTCTGCTGGGCAGATGCCACAAACTCTCTGCTTTCTGGCTGGACCTCGGTGTGGGGATGCACAGAAGAGGCTTCCCCAAACCTCAGCCTCCCCCCTCGTGCCTGGCACATTCAGCAGCCACCACCACCTCCCCCCAGCAGTTCCGATCACGCCAACATCTGGAGCGCTGGTTGCTGGTCTGTCTGCGGCTCGGGGTGGGGATTTGCATGTGAGTACAAATATATATGCACACCCTGGGTCTTCCACCCCCACATTCCTTGGCTGGCCCTTCACACCTGGGCCTGAGACAGGTCCACTCAGTGGCTGGATTTGCATGCGCGTGTATTTCTGGGTAGGGAGTCAGCTGGGGGAGTCTGAGAGGAAGTTGTTGAGGGAAACTGGGGGTAGTTCAGACGTGTCTCTTTTAACCTGCTCCATTCACCCGATCTGCCCAACAGCCCCTATATCTGATCCCGAGGCTTCCAGCCTGGATCCCAGCTCCACGGATGTACACATCCCCAGCCCCATGGGGTCAGAGCTGAAGGGAAGGATGGCCGCTGTAGCGCTCTAGACTGAGATCAGGGGGGCTTCCTGGAGGGATGGATTTAAAACACACATACACTATATTTAAAATATGATTTGAGAGAGAGAAAGGGACAGGGAGAGAGAAACGTCAATCCGCTGCTTCCTGCGTGCCTCCTACCAGGGATCAAGCCTGAAACCCCAACCAGGAATTGAACCAGCCACCTTTGGTTCATGGGATTATGCTCAACCAGCTGGGGCACACAGGCCAGGGGGAGGGAGGGATTTTTTGAGCTGGGTTTTGAAGTGTGAATAAGAGTTGTTGAAGGTAAAGAACGGTGGGCAGGGATTGGCTGGGGCAGGGCCTTGAATGCCAGGCTGGGAACTGAAACTTTCTCCTGATGGTAGTAGGGAGCCATGAAGAGTGTGTGAGCAGGGAGGGTCATGACCAAAGCTTTGTGTTGGGTTGGTCCCTCAAGGGCCAAAGCTGGGGATGACTGTAGTTCCTGTGTGGGGATTGGGAGTTCCAGGGTCATTGAAGGTTAGAAGAGTGTGAGCCCACCTGTGCCTGTTGGGCCGGGCCCCGGGGAAGGCAGGGGATCTGGGACCTTCTTTTTTTTTTTTTTTTTTTTTTTAATATATTTTATTGATTTTTTACAGAGAGGAAGGGAGAGAGATAGAGAGTTAGAAACATCGATGAGAGAGAAACATCGATCAGCTGCCTCCTGCACATCTCCTACTGGGGATGTGCCCGCAACCCAGGTACATGCCCTTGACCGGAATCGAACCTGGGACCCTTCAGTCCGCAGGCCGACGCTCTATCCACTGAGCCAAACCGGCTTCGGCGATCTGGGACCTTCTGATGGACCCAAAGAGACCTGGGATACCGTGACTTCACCCCGTCTCTGCCCAGATGGATGCGGCTCTGGCCTTTTCTCCAGTATCCGGCCACCCAGATGGCAAGGTTTTTCAATGATAACTCAAACTCCATCCTTTCTCAAACCCTCCCATGGCTCCCCGTTGCTCTTAGACCCAAACTCACAGCCTTCCCCACAGCTCAGAGGACCCAGCGTGGCCCTGCTTCTCAGGCCTCTCCCTCAAGCTCCTCCGTCCAGCCTTGTTGCTGTGTCTTGTCGCTCCTCAGGGCCTTTGCACCTGCTGTCCCTTCTGGCTGGAACTCACTTCCTGTCTCGGCTCTTGGGTCTCAGTTCCGAGAGACCCTCCTGACCTTTTGGCTCTTGCTTGCGGCTCCCCCATTATGTGACCCCTGCCCTAGCAGGGATGTCCTTGTCTAAAATGGGGACAGACTGAGAAGGGGCTGGAGTCAGATATTCCAGGCTCAGATTCTCAGGTTCAAGTCCCATGTTCCCATGGGACCCCAGGCGTGGGGGGCATTTCCGGAGTCATCTTGGCACAGGGACCTCCGGACCAGTGCCCCACTTCTGTCCCCGGGGATCCATCAGGGCCAGGGCAACACATCCCAGCCGTGGGAACGAGTCTGATTCTAGCCAGGGATTAAAATTAGCCCCCGAGGTTAAATTTAGCAAATCAATCCGGAGCTAGGGGGTTGGTGGGGCTCTCATCGGCTGGGCTCTGCATAGTTGCGACTGCTCAGAGACCCAGCCCAGAGAGGGTAGAGGACACTCCTGGGGCCACACAGAGGGCCACTTATGATGGCCAAGGCATCTTACACTCCTGGGCCCTGGGCCTCTGGGATGAAGGGGGTCCCACCCAGACCCCTCAGGCGGAGGTCAGAGAAGCAGCTATGGCTACTCGTGGAGACAGACCTCATTTCCCTACGCTTCCCCAGGGCTTGTTTCCAGGTCTGTACCAGGTGCTCTGCATGCCATACCCACCCCATTCACAGAACAGCAATCTGAGCCCAGGGGGAGACCCCCTTGGCTGAGGGCCGCCCAGGGGGTCAGAGACTGGCTGGGATCTGAGCGCTGGCCCCCTTGCCCTGGGCAGCCTGTGACATTGCCTCAGGCACCTGCGACATGGGGGTGGCTGGGGGTCAAGTGTGGTCACAGAGGAGTGGAGGGGTGTCAGGGATCTCGGGGCCTTGGGGTGGCTGACGGTACAGCATGGCGGGTGCCTCACGACAGGTTTCTTCGTTCCAAGGATCCCTGCATGGGGGCACTGGGGAAGGCCTGGACCCCAACATGCTGCTTGTCTTGGGGACATGCTGTCCTCCCTGAGTTGCCCACTCTCACTTTTGGGGCTCACCCTGGGGAGATCTGAGATCCCTGGGAAAAGGGTCCAGGGTGTCACCCAAGTTGCCCTGGGCCCAAATCGGGGGTCTGAGGGCTCCAAGCCTAAGGTCTTTCCAGGGCGTCCTCACCTCCTCCTGGTAGAAAGTGGGGCAGGGGTGGGTTTCTGTTATTTAAAGTTTTTTTTTTATTATTTTTTAATTAAAAAAATTTTAAAACAGAAATAGTCCATAATCACTGAGGGGAAAGTTTGAAAGTTCAGATCATCAAAAAAGGGGCAGGGGGAGAAGACACGAAAGGCCACACATTGTATGATCCATTTACATAAAATGTCCAGAACAGGCAAAGCCATGGAGACAGAAAGCAGGTCAGTGGTTGCCAGGGGTCAGGGGAGGGGGTGGGGAGTGACTACTCATGGGAATGGGGTCCCTTTTTGGGGGGATGAAAATTTCTGGAACTAGATAGAGGCGATGGTTCTACATTGTGAATAATTAACTATCACCGAATTGTGCACTTTATTTTTTAAAATATATTTTTATTAATTTCAGAGAGGAAGGGAGAGGGAGAGAGAGACAGAAACATCAATGATGAGAGAGAATCATTGATCGGCTGCCTCCTGCAGGCCCCCTGCCCCACACACACCCCTGAGCCCCACAACCCAGGCATGTGCCCTGACCTCCCGGCTCATAGGTCAGCATCCAACCACTGAGCTACACCAGCCGGACTTGTTTTGTTTTTGTAACCGCGGGCCTCGATCCTAGTTTGAGGAGCTGTTGCGTGTTGAATGAGTTGAAAGGTGTCCGATGGGCGGATCAGGCTTGCTTTCAGAGCCTCAGGATTACGGAGCGCTGCAGCGGATGTCCCTCCAACCTGGCCTGTTGGGGGCTCTTAGGCTGTTGCCAATATTCATAATGGCAATATATATGCGGCATCTGCTATGTGCCAGGCAGGAAGGTTAGCTCCTTTTGTCCCCAGCAACAATGAGCAGTACACAACACTGCCCCCCCACCCCCCACCCCCCACTGCAGACAGGTGCCCAAGGCGGCCAGGCTCCCTGAGGCCCATAGTTACCAGGGGGTAATGTTTTAGATGCTGGGGCAGGAGCATCTGCACTGCCATCTTTTGGCCTGGGTCAGCCTTCGCCTCATGTGGAACTGGTGCAAAGGTGTTCATTGAATATCGACTGTATGCTGGTCTGGTTGAGAATGGGGGCCCTGGGGGTGGCCCAGCCTGCCTCGATTCCCCCATCACCTCTCCTCAGTGCCTGGCAGGGGGAAGTGGAGGACAGAAGGAAAGCTGGTTGCCTGACCCCACTTTCCACCCACTCACTCTGTCCTCTTTTCCTTCTCCCACAGACCAAGGTTGCTCTGCCCAGCCTAGGACAATGGGGAGGAAAAAAATACAGATCTCACGCATTCTGGACCAAAGGAATCGTCAAGTGAGTTCATTGGGTGGGAAGGCATTCATGGCAGGGGACACAGGCTGGGCAAAGGCCTAGCCATTTCAGGGAATTGTAGGGGAATGAGTCTTGATGACAAGTCTGGAGTTTGAGATGTAGCATTTGCTCATTTTCATAATGATTTATTGAAGTCCTGGTCACAGAGGAGATGGACCTGGACACAAACACTCCCGACTCAGAGGCCTGGATCAGAGGGAGGCACAGAACTGGGGAAGCTCAGAGAGGGAGTGTGGGCTCTGCCTAGGAGACCAAGGACAACTTCCCAAAGGAGGGGTCATTTAGGATGGGTTTTGAAGCTTCAATAGGAGTTTGCCAGGGTGAGAAATGAGAACAGCCAGAAGGAACAGCACATACAGAGGCACGGAATCATGAGGCATGTTCAGAAAACAGTTAGTCCCCTCCATCTCCCCGACCCCACCCCAAATTTCTGTCTTCTCCCTCTTACCTGTGGGTGCTGGGTCTAGGTGACATTTACCAAAAGGAAGTTTGGGCTGATGAAGAAGGCCTACGAACTGAGCGTGCTCTGCGACTGTGAGATTGCTCTCATCATCTTCAACAGCGCCAATCGCCTCTTCCAGTATGCCAGCACGGACATGGACCGTGTGCTCCTCAAGTACACGGAGTACAGCGAACCCCACGAGAGCCGCACCAACACCGACATCCTCGAGGTACCCTGGGCCCTCCTCCCCGGGAAGCCAGCACACTCTGCTGGCTCAGAGCCCGGGGACTCTTGGTTTGTACAAAAGATGCGTGTTGCAGTCTAGCCTTGCTGCCAGTTAACGCAAGTTTCGGGTATTAGAGTGTCCCTCTGGGGTAGTTACCTGGCTAGCAGAAATAAAAACACCAACCAGCCCTGGCTCAGTTGGTTGGAGCGTGGTCCCACACACGTACAAGTTGTGGGCCCCATTCCCTGTCAGGGCACATGCCCAGGGCTGTGGCTTGATCCCCAGTAGAGGGCATGCAGGAGGCAGCCAATTGATGTTCACTTTCACATCAATGTTTCTCTCTCTCCCCACTCCTTCTCTCTCAAAAAAGGAAAATCAATAAAAAACCTTTTTAAAAAAACCAACCGCCCTAGCCGGCTTGGCTCAGTGGATAGAGTGTCAGCTTTCCGACTGAAGGGTCCCAGGTTCAATTCCACCCAGGGCACATGCCTGGGTTGTGAGCTCGATCCCCAGTGGGAAGTGTGCAGGAGGCAGCTGATCAATGATTCTCTCTCATCATTGATGTTTCTCTCTCTCTCCTTACCCTTCCTCTCTGAAATCAATATATATATATATATACATACATATATATATATGTATATATATATATATATTTAAAATATATTTTATTGATTTTTTTACAGAGAAGAAGGGAGAGGGATAGGGAGTTAGAAACATCAATGAGAGAGAAACATCAATCAGCTGCCTTCTGCACACGCCCTACTGGGGCTGTGCCCACAACCAAGGCACATGCCCTTGACGGGAATCGAACCTGGGACCCTTCAGTCCGCAGGCCGACGCTCTATCCACTGAGCCAAACCAGTTAGGGCAAGAAATATATTTTTTTAAAAATCAACCACTATAGATTGAAGGCTGTACTATGTGCCCCTTACACACATTGTCCCATTTAATCCTATCACCCATTTGGTGAGTACAGAACAGAAAATAAAAGGCACCGTGGGGCAAGCTGACCTCGCTGAGGCCCAGGACCGTGCAGGTCACGGGTTCCAGGTAGCTCAGAAAGTCCTATAAAGTTGTCTTCAGGTGCTCAGTTTCTTGACATTTATTATGCACCTACTGCATGCCAGGCTCTAAAGCAGCACAAGGATGCAGAATGGAGAAACCAGAGTTGTATTCAGGGGTGTTAGGACAGTGCCAGCTGGCTGGGGTGGATCTGTGGTTTCAGGGCAAGACAGTCCCTCTCTCGCACACAGTTGGAACTTAACAAATGATAACTCACTGGGGGTTTTGGTCAATGGGGTTTAGCTGGAGCAGGCTGTGCCTGCACTCTGCCCCACCCACAGAGCTGGGTAGGCCTCTCCCCTCACCATAAACCAGGCTCCCTGGCTAGGATGGGGGAGATTCATCCTGCTGTGTCCCCTCCCCACAGACACTGAAGCGGAGGGGTGTGGGCCTTGATGGGCCAGAGCTGGAGCCAGAGGAGGGGCCTGAGGGCCCGGGAGAGAAGCTTCGGAGGCTGGCAGGTGATGGGGGTGACCCAGCCTTGCCCCGACCCCGGCTCTATGTAAGTGGCTCCCCGCCCTGCTGTGAATGTGCCCCCCCCCCCCCCCCTTAGGCCCACGTGGTCAAGGCCAAGACTGGAAAAGGGCCAAGAAGCCTAGAGTATGGTGGTAGGTCTGCCTGGTTGGACAGGAAAAGCTTCCTGGAGGAGTGGGCATTGTAGCTGGGGCTTTGAAAGATGGATAAGAGTTCAAAAGGCAGATAATTCCTTCTTTTCTTTCCTTCTATTTTTTTTTTTTTTATTCACCAAATACCTGGGAAGCGCCCTCAGTGCCAGGCTCATGCTGAGTGAGAAGCCTCGGCTCTGGGCCTCGCTGTCCAGGAGCAGCAGAGCCTGGCCCCAGGGAGGTTAGGCCAGGGGTGGGGGGGTGGGGTTGTGAGGCTTCCAAACGGTGGAGGCTGGGATATTCTCTTGGACTTGGTGTCCTCACCTCCTTGGCCCTCCAACCACTCGTGTCCTCTCTGCCCTCAGCCAGCAGCCCCCACCATGCCCAGCCCAGACATGGTATATGGGGCCCTGCCCCCACCAGGCTGTGACTCCAATGGGCTTGGGGAGGCCCTGCCCGCCCAGAGCCGCCCATCCCCCTTCAGGCCAGCAGCCCCCAAAGCTGGGCCCCCGGGTAAGCATGGGGCCTAGGCCCTGGGGAAGGTGGGGGCGGGGTCCCAGGGGAGCTTGTGTGTGTGTGGGGGGGGGGGGTAGGGGGGGGTCTTGGCTCAGCACTGCTTGGCTGTGTTCATCACTCTGGACTCAGACTTCGGTAGATGACATGGCTGCCTGCCCTCTCCCTGGGGGTCTCCTGCTCCACAGGCCTGGCCCATCCTCTCTTCTCACCAAGCCACCTTGCCAGCAAGACACCGCCACCCCTGTACCTGGCAGCAGACGGGAGGAGGCCAGACCTGCCTGGAGGCCTGGCAGGGGCTCGAGGAGGACTGAGCACCTCCGTGAGTGAGGGGAGGAATGCCAGGCTGAGGGGGCAGGCAGGGTGGCCTGAGTGCGGGCCTCAGTTTCCCCCTCACCTTTCTCCGCACAGAGAGGCCTCTACAGTAGCCTGCAGAGTCCATGCTCCGCCACAGCTCCAGGACCCTTCCCTTTCCTCCCAGCAGGCCCCCCAGGTACGCACCCCCACCAGCTCTGCTGTGGGCGATATCCGTACACCTGCCTGCTGGGCAGGCCACACTCCCCCTCCTGCCAACTGAAAACTGGCTGGTGGGGTGGATCAGGCTTGGGCAAGGGGCTCCCAGCGGTGGGGGCCTCAGCTCACTCCTCTTGCCCCCGCCCCCAGAATATGGCCTGGGAGACCCCCCTCCGCCCCCCGGCTTGCTGCAGCCCCCTTCCCTGGGCCCCTGGCAGCCCTCGAGGGGTGATGGGCCCCTAGCCGGCCTTGCCCAGCCCAGGTAAGTGCCCCATGCCTCTCCCACCCCGAGTCAGGCTCCCAAGTGGGGCCCTTCCACTGCTTCCGAAGCCCCCAGCCACTGCTGACACCTGGTGGCCACTCCTGTTTCTGCACCCAGCCCTTCCGGAGTGGGGGGGGGGGGGGGCGCAGGGATTCTATTTTGGAGGCCCCAAGAGGGATGGCCACCCCCTCCTTTCCCAAGGTCCTCCCGCCAAGCTTTTCCCCAAGCCGTGCCACCTCCGGGTTTCCCTCCCTCCCTCCTCGCAAAGCTCACGGCCCCCATCTCATTCATTCTCTCCCTCTCTCTCTCTCTCTCCCGCCCCCCTGCAGTGGGGGCCGCAGCCTGGGCGAGGAGGGTCCTCCAGCCCGCGGTGCCTCCCCACTGACCCCCCACGTCAGCATCAAGTCCGAACGCCTCTCGCCAGCACCCGGTGGCCCCGGCGACTTTTCCAAGACCTTCCCCTACCCTTTGCTCCTGGCGCGGCCTCTGGCAGAGCCCCTGCGGCCCGGGCCCCCGCTGCGCCGGCTCCCCCCTGCAGATGGCTGGCCCCGGTAGTGGACCCGGGCGGGTACTGGCCTTGACCCCCACCAGCCGGGCGAGGGCACGTGGACTCCCAACCTCCCTCCGAGTGTCCTCAGAGAAGACCCAATGGATGTGACGCCCTCCACGGTGGTCCTGGAGGAGGAAGGCTGGGCTGGATCCATGGTCCCGGCTCTGTCGCCCCTTCCTGAGTGTGTACCCACCAATAAAGCACGTGGGCTCCATGGAGGAAGTGATCTGTCCTGCTCAGGCCATCCCCACCCCTGCCCAGTACTACCATCTCCTCCCCTGGGGCCTCAGTCTTGGCTTGTCTGGGTTTGGGGTTCTCCTGCCAGAATTCCATCCTGAGATGAGGGTTAGGGTTGGGGTTCGGATGGGGTATGGGGAGAAAGTTCCTGGTGGGTGGCAGGACAGGGGCCCTGCAGGGGGCACAAATGAACTGGTGACAGTGGTGAGCAGCTGGGCCACTGAGGCCTTGGGAGGTCTTTTGGAGCTTGCCCCTAGAATGCTCCCACCCACTGCCCCTAGAGTGCTCCCACCCACTGCCCTAGAGTGCTCCCACCGCCTACCCCTAGAGTGCTCCCACCCCCTGCCCCTAGAGTGCTCCCACCCCCTGCCCCTAGAGTGCTCCCACCCACTGCCCCTAGAATGCTCCCAACCCCTGCCCCTAGAGTGCTCCCACCCCCTGCCCCTAGAGTGCTCCCACCCCCTGCTCCTAGAGTGCTCCCACCCACTGCCCCTAGAGTGCTCCCAACCCCTGCCCCTAGAGTGCTCCCAACCCCTGCCCCTAGAGTGCTCCCACCCCCTGCCCCTAGAGTGCTCCCACCCCCTGCTCCTAGAGTGCTCCCACCCACTGCCCCTAGAGTGCTTCCACCCCCTGCCCCTAGAGTGCTCCCACCCCCTGCCCCTAGAGTGCTCCCACCCACTGCCCCTAGAATGCTCCCAACCCCTGCCCCTAGAGTGCTCCCACCCCCTGCCCCTAGAGTGCTCCCAACCCCTGCCCCTAGAGTGCTCCGACCCCCTGCCCCTAGAGTGCTCCCACCCCCTGCCCCTAGAGTGCTCCCACCCACTGCCCCTAGAGTGCTCCCACCCCCTGCCCTAGAGTGCTCCCACCCACTGCCCCTAGAGTGGTTCTGTCCCACTGGGAAGGGCCTGCCTATTTGCCCTCATTTTGGGAGTGTCAGGTGGTAGGCCCAGAGGGAAATATCACAATTGCTTGCAGCAAGAAGCAGTTGGGGCCCTGGCTGGTGACCCTCAGATGGAAGGGTCTTGGGTTTGATTCCAGGTCAAGGGCGTATACCTGGATTGCAGGTTCCATTCCCGGCCGCATGTGGGAGGCAACCAATCTATGTTTCTCTCTCTCTCCCCACCCCTCTCCTTTCCACTTTTTCTAAAAATCAATGGAAAAAATATTCTCCAGCGAGGATTAACAAAAATCTACACTAATAAAAGACAAACATGCAAATTGACTGTACCTTCGCTACGCCTTAAGCCATGCCCACCAGCCAATCAGAGCGACTATATGCAAATTAACCCAACCAAGATGGCGGCCGGCAGCCACAGAGCTGGAGCGAGCAGGAGGCTTGGTTGCTCCAGTGATGGAGGAAGCCAAGCTTCCCAGTTGGCTCTGAGCTCCACTGAAAGCAACAAAGTTTCAATTATAGAAGGTAAATAAACCCCAGATACCTGCGTTCAGCCGGCCGTGGCTACGGAGCTGGAGCAAGCAGGAAGCCAAGCTTCCCGCCTGCCACGGGGCTCTGAGCTCCACTGAAGGCAACAAAGTTTCAATTATAGAAGGTAAATAAATCCCAGAATAAAAAAAAAAGAAAAAAAGGAGAGGCTGGGAGCTTCCGTCGCTGGGGGGCTTGGCCAGCCTGAAAACGGCCCTCAGCCCCTCACCCAGGCTGGCCAAACCTCCATGGGGTGAGGGTCCTCACTGGGGGGGACTTGACCAGCCTGCAAACAGCCATCAGCCCCTCACCCAGGCTGGCCAGGCACCCCAGTGGGGACCCCCACCCTGAAGGGGGTGTGACCAGCTGCAAACAGCCATCAGCCCCTCACCCAGGCTGGCCAGGCACCCCAGTGGGGACCCTCACCATGAAGGGGGTCTGAGCAGCCTGCAAACACCCATCAGCTCCTCACCCAGGCTGGCCAGGCACCCCAGTGGGGACCCCCACCATGAAGGGGGTGTGACCAGCTGCAAACAGCCATCAGCCCCTCACCCAGGCTGGCCAGGCACCCCAGTGGGGACCCCCACCATGAAGGGGGTGTGACCAGCCTGCAAACACCCATCAGCTCCTCACCCAGGCTGGACAGGCACCCCAGCGGGACCCCTACCCTGATCCGGGACACCCTTCAGGGCAAACCAGCTGGCCCCCACCCGTGCAACAGGCCTCTATCCTATATAATAAAAGGGTAATATGCAAATTGACCCTAACAGCAGAACAACTGGGAATGACTGGTCACTATGACACACACTGACCACCAGGGGGCAGACGCTCAATGCAGGTGCTGCCCCCTGGTGGTCAGTGCGCTCCCACAGGGGGAGCTCTGCTCAGCCAGAAGCCAGGCTGATGGCTGCCACTACAGCGGTGGTGGTGGGAGCCTTTTCCACCTCCTCAGCAGCACTAAGGATGTCCAACTGCAGCTTAGGCCTGCTCTCCGCAGGCAAGTGGACATCCCCCGAGGGCTCCCAGGCTGCCAGAGGGATGTCTGATTGCCAGCCTAGGCCCAATTCCCCGGGGAGCGGGACTAAGCCAGCAGGTTGTCATTCCCCGAGGGGTCTCAGACTGCAAGAGAGCACAGGCCAGGCTGAGGGACTCCTCCCTCCCCCCCCGCCCCCCCCCCCCCCCCCCCCGCCGAGTGCACAAATTTTTGTGCACTGGGCCTCTAGTAAAGAATAAAAGAAGGAATCTTGAATGCTGGGGTACTATGCCATTCCTCTTTTAAATGGGCTTATCTCTTGACTCAGCAATTTTGTTACACCAGAGGGAGCCAGGTAGTTATCTACATACTCCAAGGTGTGCACAGCCTCCCCTCCCTCACTCTGGCCTGTCCCATGTGTAGGCAAACCTGGGGGCCCAGGAGCCCAAGGGAGCTCTATTGCTCATCCCACTCCAACCACCCCACAGGTGGTCTCAGTGGTGTTGATGTTCTTTGTGAACGGAGACACTGAGGCAAGCTTGGCGTGTAGGATGAAGTAGACCAGAGGGCTACCGCTCGCTCAGGCGTGTAGCAAAGACCCTCTGATCCCTTCTGGCTTTTATTGGGGGTGAGCACAACAAATAACAATGGAGCACAGCAAATAACAATGGAGCACAGCAAGTAACAATGATTCACAAACATGCTTTATGAAATCATCAAAGCTAAGTTATACATTACACTATTAATTTCCTATGTTATACAAAGACTATTTCCACCGACAGCAGTACACCCTCCCTGGCTTTCCATGTTCTCATGGACTATTTATCACCTCAAGGAAAGTTCTGCCTCGGAACAATAAGTCTTGCGTGCAAGACTTTGTTCTGACGCGGCCTGTGTGCAGGCTCACGCCTTCTCCCGGCAGAGCATCCTCTTCTAGTTAACTTCTTTCCGCTTGACCGCTACACAGTGGGATCTTATTATTATTTTTAGAGAGAGGAAGGGAGAGAGGGAAACACTGATTTGTCGTTCCACTGGTTTATGCATTCATTGGCTGATTCTTGCATGTGCCCTGACTGGGGATGAACCCACAACCTTGGCATATCAGGAGGATGCTCTAACCAACTGAGCTGCCCCACCAGGGCCTCAGATGGATCTTTACGACCATCAGATCAGACCCTTGACCTTCATAGCTCCTCAGGTGCCCCCACCCATTCTGCCTGTGTCCCCCACACTATCCCCTGCCCTGAGGCATCTAGAAACACTTGCATGTTCAACCCCAGGTCCATGCTGATCCTTCTTTCTGAACCACCTCCCTCAACCCTCCAATCACCTTTTTGTAAAAGACTGCTTCCTACCTTCCAAGGCCCAACTCCATGTCTGCACTGCCCAAGCTGAGAAATGGCTCCGACTGTCAGTTAAGCAGAGCGTTTGTTGCGTGCAGATCACCAATTTGAGCAGGGATGTGGATAACACGGAGTATTGGTCTCAGCACTTAAAAGGTTTGCTCCCCCTCTCCCATTCCACAAAGATCCAAAGCTGATTGGTTCCGGCTGGCTGTTGAAGCCTCTTGTCCCCTCTTTTCAGCCCAGCGCCCCACAGAGGAGCCTTTTCAGTAAAATCCAATGCCTTGTACCCGCCACCAGCGCACACAGTCACAGATGGTGGACAAAGAGGGGAAGCATGCACATCGCAGGCTTCAAAGTCAGTCCCGTCCCTGGAATTCAGCACCTCCTCTTCTGTAGTCACCAAGACGTAGGGCTGACTCCTCCAGGGGTGGGGAGAGGGCAGAATCTGACAGACGTTTACGTGAGGTGGGGGCAGGCTAAGTGGCCCTGCACAGAGCACCATGCTACCCACATGCCAGACCCAGTTAGGGTTTGTCCTCCATGCATCTTCGCAGTCCTTGACGCATCATCTCTAGTAAAGTAGGGGCTTTGGGGACCCAGTTTCCAGGAGAGGATCATGGCATTATCGAAGCTCCCCTCCTCAGGGCTTCCGTGGCAGGGGGGTGCACTGGGGGGGCCAGGGGCAAGAGCAGCAGGAGGCTGAAGGGCTGGGAGGGAAGTGTATTTGGGGGCAAAGCCACCAGAAACCCTGGGTGGCTCTGATGTGAAGAAAAGGGAAGAGGGGGCCATGGGCAATTCACAGCCTCTAACCTGGATGGGGGCAGTAGGGGACCCCACATCTGTGCTGGGAGGCTTGCAGAGAATGCAGGGAGTGTGGGGTGAACTCAGGGCCTCTGTAGGGTGCCCAAGGTAGACGGGGGAGTCTCTTACCAACTCAGACTTGGGTCCTAAATCCTCTCCACCTGCTTCCTTGTGCCCCTGCCCACCCTCAGAGGAAGAGTGAACTTCTGCCCCCTTTCCAGCCCTAGACAATGAACTCAGGGATCTGGGCTGTGCATACAACCTCCGCCACCCCCAGCGGCAAAGGCATGGTGGTCACCTTGAGAGTGCAAATTCTCCACCTGGGTTACCCTTCTGGGGATCCCCTCCTTCAGGTCATATGAACCCTGGCCATCTGCATAAGGATAAGGGTGTATGAACTTTGCAGTCACAGTTCCCCACACAACCAGACTCAGGAGCCCTGGGGAAACTGAGGCACAGCCAGAGAGGGTCTCTTCTCAACCTCTGGATCTCACCCTTGCAATGGACAAGAAGCCAGGACAGTCTCTGAAGTCTGTGCCCACAATCTAAGCTCTCAGTGTGGGGTTCATAAAAACGTGGCTGCTTTCCAAAGGCTGGGGGAACCCTAGGGCCTGTGTATGTGGTTCTGTGTCCCCCACCACTGGGAGGCTGCAC